CACTACGATTTGTTTTGGCTCAAAAGGGCGATGCCCTTCTCGTCTCCTGTGGTCATTCGCCATGGTCGAACCGAATGGGACTTTTTGTTTCGGTCACATTCGTTTATGACATCAAGTTTTGTTTTCGTTTCTGATATCAAGATTTTTTTGCGATGTTCTATTATCGCATCAATCGCTTCGTTTTGTCAAATGATTGCTGCTGCTGGCAGTTCGTTGGGGGTCCGTAATAAAGCCTCAAAAATAGCAGGTAGCAAAACCCGGTATAAAGAAGAAACAAAAGCAGCGATTGATTGAAGAAGTCCAACGCAGGCACAAGAAAATATCGATTGTGCGTCTAACAACCTTGTCAATATCCCGACCATTTCCGAACTTGCTACCTTTTCCCTCGTCCTGCCTTCTCGAAGCCTCTGCACAGATGATCACGACAATTGAAGTTTGAGATGGCGTCAATAATTTTGCAAACGAATTTATGCACTCGCAGATGCTGCAGCTGTAAAGCAGGCAGGAGACGCGTCAAGTGGCTTTGACTCGAGCTCTATGAACTTCGAATCCAAGATAAAAAAAGTTATCTTGACAATTGTGCGGAATCCACAACTTGAGGCATCCTTATAATAACAATTTATGCTCGAAAACTATTTATGCCTTCTCGAAGCCCTAGTACATGTAAAGGGTTTTGTAAAATCGAAGCTGTGCGCTTAATGAAGGCTATTTCTTCAAACGGAGAAACATCAGTTTCAGATTTCGGAGACGTTCGTAGGCGGGATCCTGCAGGTCATTTAACAACCGTGACAAACGGCACAGCCGGCACAGTCCCAGCATATAGCTGGGAGAATGTTCGATGGTCAAGTGACGTCGGAAACGAGACAGTGCTACACGGGCGCTCTTAGTGTGCCGTGAGACTGTAGTAATATGGAACTGGACTAGAGACCGATACTATTATATCGTAGTGCGCCAAAGCTGTAGCTCGTTCTTCGTCACGATTGGTCACGAAAAAAAATGTTATCATGAGATAATCAGGCAAGAGCAAAGGGATGGAACTGGCAGGTAGGCTAAGTGCACTCCTTTGCTTATTAATACATGTTAGAAGGCTCTGGGATGGCCGCAAAACAATCTCCTACTTACCTGTACTCTACAACCCAACACGGCAGCAACGTTGAACAATACAAAGGAGACATACAGCACGGAAAGGAGATCGTCGACTTTTAAAACCCGCGACGACTGTATATCCAGACACGCGCAGCTTTGAGGACTTTACCAGCCGGAAGACGCTCTCAACGGCACACTATCATCACGTGGTCGTGGCGTGAAATCATTTGCACGTGGTTTGGCAAGGTTGTCTCGCCCGATCTCATGCTTGTTACGCGAGATAATACAACTGGGCGCATGGGAGTGATGCTGTTTCGTGCAAGGGAGACACGTCGATAAGATCCGACGACGCCAAGGCTGCTTATAGGCCAAAGAAGCAAAAGTTGCGTCTATGCTGAACGCACGTGCTTGACCGATAAAACCGTTGGTATTATAGCACTCATGTAGCTCACTGGACCTTCAATCTTCTTGCAAAGGCTCATTTCGACTTTCCTTCCATCTGACTCAAGCACTAGTTGCCATGCAAGTGCTCCACGATCGATATCGAGTCACACGTGACCTCAGCGCCACGCTTTACGGGTGTGTGGTCGCATGCGAAGACACCCAAGGTGAGCAGAAACCTGAACCGAAAACTGCTCTGGTATCCCCCGTCGTAGTCAAACAAGTGTCGCTAGAGCGCATGGCAAGTGTCGTGAGAGACTTCCCTTCCGATGGCCACATGCCGGACAATCCGTTCGTCGAGAAAGAGATCGGCGACATCCTACGCGTTGCTGGCGGACATCCCAATCTCGTGCAGTACAAGGACTCATTCGTCGACCAAAAGACTTTGTACCTGGTTTTGGAATACTGTGCGGACGGTGATCTGTACGATTACCTCAGTAGGCGAAAGCAGCGTACCATGTCGTGCTCCAATGCTCTCAGTGTTCTTTCCCAAGTGGCCATGGGTCTGGCGTTTCTACACAAGCACGGAATCGCACACCGCGACATTTCGCTCGAGAATATCATGCTGCACCGAGGGAGGTGCAAAATCGGTGACTTTGGACTCGCCACACGCGCTCTCAGCGCCAGTGGCCGACACGTGGGCAAGAAATACTACATGGCGCCCGAGATCGTCGCGGGCGAGACGTACGACCCCAAGGCAGCCGACGTTTGGTCGCTCGGGATTGTGTTCTTCATTATGCTCACGGGCTCACCGCTCGTGTCTTTGGCATCGATGGCTGTCAAGTCGTTCCGTACACTACAACAGGCCGGCATTAAGACTGTACTCCAGGCCTGGCGGGTCGAGCCAACCATGTCAGAGAGTGCTGTGGATCTTTTGTCGGGCATGTTGCAGGTCGATCCTCAGAAGCGTCTGACGGTTGCTCAGGTCTTGGAGCATGAGGCTTTCAATACGTCAGGGAGCTGTACCAAGACAGCCTAAGCTCGCTGACCAGTAAAGTGACCAGCATCATGCGCTTGAAGCACTGTAAATGTTGAACATTGTAACATAAAAGTAAAACTTACCCGTGTAGATAACTTCCTCGTGTTTGGGTGCAACGTACATCAACAGCAAGTATCCGTTGGTTTCGTCTACTACAGTGTATGTAGGTAGAGGCACCGGCTTTAGATACAAAATCCAGAGGCTAATTAGAGTATAATGGAGAGGCCGGTGGTTTCGCGTCTTCTGAGCGCACGATCTCGCCTGAATTTGGCTCATCAGACTAGCCACTTCTCCGTTTTCTTTGGTGGTGGCACTTCACTTGGCATTCTGTAAACTCAAGAGCAGACATAAAAGCTAAGCAGGTCATCGGAATTCCAGTCCACCGGTCAATATGTGCCGCACCATTCAACCGCCGGGCGTTTTCTTCATGCCATCAACAGCGATGCTAGAAGAATTCCACTTCCTCCCGCCGCCCGTTCCGCTGCCGCTGTGCCTCAGTTATTTGACCAAGATCGCAGACGCCGATCCCCCGCCTTTGCTGCAGCTACCGCCGACGCAGGCGCTACGGTGTGGCCTAGAATTTGTGCTAAGTGCAGAAGGCGTGCGCTTCACGGATCTCACCTTCGTGGGAGAAGTTAAAGCTCGCATTGCCGAGCTCATGAGCACGGCTTCGACTTTCGATACGTCGAACAATAACTCCCGTCTGGCCCAGAAGACCCTCAAGTTCAGGAATATCGCGCAGCAGGAACAAAGTGGAGATGTCGCTATCCGTGCTCTATGAAGATAGAAGCGTAGGTTTACTTCATCACCTTGTCGAAACAGATTCCAACCAAACTTAATTAATCCTTGCATTTTTTTGGCTTTGGCAAAAGCGCTAATATGCGTCTGGCACAACAGTTTTATTTTGAAGGTTCTATTTTAGGTTCTATAGTACCCGTTTCAAAGTACAGCCTTTGTGTCAACCCCCAAAATGTGCCATGTATTTTATTTTTTGAAGAGTAGATTTGGGCTATATCGTGGCTGTACATGTAGAGTAGATTTCCATGGTCTCTGTCATACCACTAATGTAGAGTAATTGATAGTTGGGAAGGTATAATCAATGTTCGAGTACCATTCGATATTGAGTTGCTGGTGTGGATAAAACTCTATAAACTAGGGCGAATCGAAGGCTGGGATAGTTTAAAAAAAAACGAAAATGTATTGTTTTCTTACTTTTTTTTTTAAAAAATGCAAAATTGTCGTGTACGAAACGCTTACTTTAAAGCCCGGAAAGAGGTGAGAACGTATGGGATGGAGCCAAACCACCGTACCAATTACGGAGTAGGTCGGCGCGATCGATCGCAGCTTCGTGTAGAATCTCCGATGCAGGACCAACTGAAACATACCGGAGTTTGTTGTACGTAGAAAGCGTAGCATTTCTCACAACGACGACGCTGCCTTGTAAAATGTCTTCATTGGCGAGGTGACCCCACGTCATACAAACTATTTGGTACCCGGAATCATCAACAAGGAGTAGCTCTCGCTTATCAGTCGTCTTCCCCTTCCGCGTTACAATACGCTTCACCGAGCCCAACCGATGCACAATAGCAATAGTTGTTGCTACAGACCCGTCCTCAACTGCCGCAAGGTTGGCAATTGTAACGGTAGGTATTTGCGGGGCATCCAACAAAGGAGTTTGGGCCAGGTGAATATCCGCATTGGATCCGAAGGATATCTCAACGCAATTCTTCGCCGAAAACGCAGGTTTTATCCGGCCGCCGGAGAAGAAGCAACTGTTTCCAGGAACAATGACGTCACCATAACTTGTAATTGCCTCGTTGAACAGGGTAACCAGGTAAACGATCTTGGGTGAGTCGGCAACGAAAACTTCAAGCAATGTACCATTATTTTGCCAGGTTTTCCATTTACGCACGGGATTTCTTGCTATCACACGCGCGATAAACGCCCACGGAGAAGGTGTGCTGGGCTTTAAGTCCTGAAGAGGATAAATGCGCGCAGATTCAACACCAGTCTGCGCGCTGCTGACTGAAGTTTGGGGGTATTATCGGCAAAATCACAAACGGCACCATCTTGTTCAGATACCGAGCAGACTCCCAGTCGCGCGTCCACTATTATTTGAGGGCAAGAGCCCTTGACAGTGGGCGACATCTTTTGGCTACTTGCGAAGCTGTCCCGAGTCCGGAATTTGGAGGAGATTGTTTTGAAGCTGTGGTAGAGATCATCGCGAGGCCTGGATCACGGACCGTTCCTACTGCAAGCTTGGTCTTGAGAGTTTTCCGATCACAAAGGGGTAGATCAACTGCCGTTGTCACTTTTGCCGTTCCCACTGCGACTTCACTAACCGCGGCACGAGAAGTCTTACTTGGAGGAGTCACCATAGCTAGATTACGGACTGCTGTAGGCAGCTTGGTCTCGAGAGTTTCTCGATCACATGGACGAGGAGTCACCATAGCTGTGCAGACAAGCGAAAATTGTCGAATGACAACAGGAGCAGGCGAGCAAATTGTGCGGATGGACGAAATATGTCAGAAAAAAAGTGGAGAGGTGCTTTGAATGAAAGAAGAGAAACGATTCGACTGAGTGTAGACGATTACCGATTGATGGGTTCAAGTAGACTACACAGTTTCAGTAACTTTACCACCGGCAAGTTACTGAATAAAAATGTTCTCGCTCAAATCGAACAGTTACCCGGTAAACCGGACAGTTACCGGCTTCAGTCTATCGGCTTCAGTTACCGCGACGAATTAATCCGATTTGGGCTGGCTAGCCTTCCAGACTATCCCAGTAATATGCTTGCCAATACAAAAAAATACAGGAGTGACTCTCACAAAATTGTTGCTTTGACTTATCAAAAAAACGAAACACACAGCTTCAACAACCTCCCTTTGTTCTTGGTCGATACGAGCAAGTGGAACCTACAATGATGCAGGTCGAAACTAAGGCTTTTTGTAGTGGGATATCGATGTTTAAGAAAATCATCGCGTTCTCGCAAATAATTCTCCAAAAATCTCTCATTTTATGTTTGACCTATCTTTTGAGCTCATATTGAAATCAATTCAATTTTCTATACATACTAACCTTTAAGAAAAGCATGCTAGTATGCTTGTAACCATTTAGAACCTTCACTTTATCGCCTAATTGATTGCACACGAGAAACAACAAATTAAAAAATATTCAAGACGTAGAGTTAAAGTTTCCAATAACGTAGAAATGGAGTAACTCAGCTAGCCACAAGGCTTAGACCACTCGAAGTTACGCCTTGATGCACGTATCCACAAAAGAAATTGCAGTCTCCAGTTGTTTTGCTGTTAATTCGCTAACAGCACTGTCTCTGTAGCCGTAGTGTGTTACTGCCGCCTCAATGCATTCGTGCAGCTTGTTCTGTTGTTCTCTCTTCTCTTCCGATCGAAGATGCGTTCCTGCAACGTGACCTTCAAGCTGTTCAATTGTCTGCGTAAAGTGGTTCTTGATCTGATGGTAAAAGTCCATTTTCGTCATATATTGGCGCTTCACGTCCACTGATGGGTCATTGACGAGAGCAGCCACGTCCTCTCCGTTAAATTCTCGCTTAGGCAGTGGAGGTAGAGGAGGTGGGGCGATTTCGGTGTTCCCAGCGGCGCAGTGGTTGTACATCCAACGGACCAACACGTCATACTCATCGGTCGTAACAGAAGCCGTCGCCAGTGTCTGCAAACCGGCACTCACACAGTCGAACGTTCGCTTGTAGCGGTACATCATCCTCTCATGCTCGATATCTGCGCGGTCTTTGATGCTTTGGAGAAACTGGAATATTTTATCAGCAGAAATGGAGGAAGAGTGGTCGGTGTTGACACGGCCAACGGTTTGGTCGGAAGGTGCCAGCAGATTCCAGTCCTGGTCGACAAAGCTTGCCAACGACGCGTCCACAGTCGTGATCAGAGGCTCTGCGTTACGAGAATTCTCGACGGCAAATGGTTCACGTTCGTCTGCACTTTTCACTGCCTGGTGCTCAGATTTGAGCTCGTTTTCGGTCGTCGCTGCCTCGTTATAATGACTCGCCGCTGGAAATAAGCCAGGGATTGAATCAGGTTCTCCGTTGTGCCAGTTTTCTGGGTTCAACTCAGGTTCGTCTGCAAGCGGCGTGTACTTGTGCTCTGACTCTGGTATCTCATCTCGGCTATCCATTGAAGTGCCGTGTGCAGTTTCTTCTGGCTCGCCGTTGGTCGTGTAGGCGTTCTCCTCTGAGACCGGCCCGTGCTCTTCTCTTGTCGTCAATGCTGGGTGTTCTCTCTTTAATAGCTCGACTTCAGTGGTAATTAGCCCACCATTGTAAGGGTCTTCCGAAATCAACCCAGTTTTCTCACCGTCAGTGGCTGTAGGGCTTAGCTCCACCTCAGTTGCCGTAGGTTTCGACTGCTGGGCTGCGATACTAGACTCGGTCTCAGTCGCTTTCCCCGAGTAAATGTCTTTCACTGAGGCCTGGTGCTGTTCTGCTGCTTCATCGGGCGTGTACTGTTTCACTGACTCCGGAGCTGGCGGTGTTGTTTCTTGGACGTATACGGTCTGTGTCTCTGACTGAGCAGGTTCGTTTTGCGCTGGAGTCGAAGCAAAAGCAGGCTCTTGAGCAGTGGAAGACGTAAGTGAGGTATTAACTTCAGAGTAAGAAGCGGGTTGAGAGACGGCCGACGATGCCGTGGCTGTCGTGACTTCTGCAGGGATTTCCTGGCTAGCTTCGTTCGGATGAGCTATGGCGGCGCTGACAGGCGTCGACGAAGAAGAAGACTGCGGCATCGAGGCTTCCACTGACGCTGATGTGACCGAAGCTATTTGGGCTGTCGTTGTATCTACAGCTACTGGGGTTTGAGCAGCAGCGCTAGCAGGGGTGCTTACCTCATTTTGAGGTGATAGAGCTGGGAGCAGGGCTGACGATTTAGAGACTGTCGTTTGCTCTGCAGACACTGCCCCCCTCGTCGGCCCCGTGGTAGTTCCCGACATCCCTGTGGCCATCTCAGTCGCTGTCTCCGTCGGGGTGACCGGAGCTGTGCTGGTAGATGTTCCTGCACTCGCTCCCATCGACACTCCACTCTGTGTCCCCGTCGATTGCACTGAGGCCGTCGTTGAGCTTGTCCCTGCGCTTGTCGTTGCAGCACTTGCAGTCGTAAGTTTACTCTGGAGCAGATACTCAAAGTGCTGATTGGCGCTGTAGTTGTCGCAGTTCCTCAGTACGAGTCTCGGGGTAGAGAACAATACCCCACTCCCGTCATCCAGACACAGATTCGCCTTATTCGGCTGAGTAAATTGCATCGTGGCGCGATCGTAGTCGAACGTTTGGTCCTTACTGGTATCACAAGGCGCCAGACGAGTATCAGCCTTGCCTGCCTTCTTCACACCGCCGTCATCCACACAATAGTTGACCTTCTCTGCACTTCGAATGCGCTTCGTCGACGCGTCATACGTGAAGATTTGGTTCTTGCTTTGCTTGTTACACTTCGCTAGAAGTAAGGGCGTGGCAGCGATCGACGCACTAGGACCAGACACACACATGCCAGTCTTACCAGCGACCCGTAGGAGGAACTTGGCTCCACTAGCGACCGCGTTCAGAACCTTCTGCTGTTCGGCTGCCAGTGTAGCTTGGGACAGCACTTCGAAGTGCTGGTCCTCACTCTTTGCACTGCAGCGACGGATTGTGTACTTTGAGGCACTGGCAGTGTTGCCACCGCCATCGTCCAGACAATAGCCGTCTTTGGAAGGGTTTTTGAGCATCAGAGTGTTGGAATCAAAGGCGTAACGTTGGTCGGAGCTTTTAGCGTCACATTTCGACAGACGCGCCCAAGTGAAGCCTGCCCAGCCACCTCCATCATCCAGACAGAGTCCTTTCTTCTTTGCACTATAGAACTGGTGGGTTTTACTGTTGTAGATGAAGAGTTGGTTCGGGTTACTCGGGTTACACGGCTGTCCCGTGATTGCTGACTCGTCGGGTTTGAGGCGACCTCCGTCATCTGCGCACAGATTGGGTTTCCCAGCTACTCGGAGCAGGACTTCTTGTCCTGACAGAAGAGCGGGTTCCTCGGTCGATAACGTAGAGCTCTTCAGTGTCGTGACTAGTGGCGATACGTTGACCGTTTCTAGACTGGAAGCAGGTTGCCAGGATTCGTACAGGATAAGAGCTCCACCAACGGAAAGAGCAGCACTCGTCACAGCCAACGCCATTTTCGTCCATTTGGGCCTCATGGGGCGGACTTGATGGGCGTGGAGACTTTTGCTAGAGTCAGGGTTGTCACTCCCGTAGGTGTCCGGCATGGAACCTGTCAGCTCTTCAATATGACTTGCTCGCTATCAAGAATCTTTGCAACTAATAGTTCGTGTGGTCGAATCATGAAGGACTCGGCCTACGCGAGGCTCTTGCCCAGCGATCTTTTCATGGCGGCGCTTGGATACTGGAACGTGCGGCCTAGAAGCACTGTGAGATCTTGCACCTTCACGTACATGTATTTTGAATCCCGACCAATTTTGCCGAATTGGATGAGTCACTCGCTTACAAATTTCCTCTTTTTTTTCAAAACGGCAGATTTGCGCTAGCGTGCGCGTTCATTCAAAGACCCGAGCACGTAGAATGCACAATAAGGTGGACCAAAACCAAAACTCGCGTAGTCATTATTTGGGTTAGAGATTTGGACTTTTTCTAAATATATTATGGCACTCGTTATTCAGCCAGACTGGGTAACAAGAGACAGTACAATTACACCAGAATACACCCGATTAGCATGCCCGAATATGCCAGACTCGTGAAGAGCCGGACACGTCATCAGTTGATGTGTCTTCGGGAGTATACGTATAACCGGAAGCTCGATGTCTGTCGGTTTCGAAACTTATATCTACAAGACATTCAGCAGACTGCGCTGGGGATATCTAACTCTCAAGACAAAGTGCAGGGTGAATAACCCGGAGGTAGTCATGCCATCGACACACACAAACAAAAGACCAAATCATTTAAAACTTGTTCAGCTAAATGCACATGCAGAGATACCGATAGCGTAGATACTGCAACTCCTTCCTACTTAGCGCACGCATAGTAGTAGACCCGGCAAATATCTCGAATGCCAACAGCATGTACATGCCACAATTGTAGCTATCGACCTGCACTCCAAGATCACTCTCGTACATTCGGACTCGGTACTTTCTTGGGGCGAAGTCTGGTAGCATCGTCACCAATTCGTGAGCAAGGGGGCGAACCTTCACTCCGTAGCTGGAATTCATCGGTTCGTAGACTAATACGTCTTTACATGTCAGGTCAATCATGACAGAGCACCAGTGATTCTTGCCGCAGATGATCGGAATCAAAATCTTCTCACCCGTAACACCTACAAACACGCCCTTCATCGTATAGATCGATAAATAGCCATTCATAACGTTCCCCGCGATGGACGTGTCGACTCCAATCGTGTCTACTCTTTCTGCAAACAGCTTCAGCACTAAAATGTTAACGGCGCAATCACCCAAGGGCGACTTGCCAACGAGCTCCAGCGCTTCCACCTATATTCAAGAAGATGTTATCAAAGCTAGTAAATCCATTGTATCAATAAATGTACGTTAACTGTACCTGCACGAACAGAAGTGGGATGGCCTTCAGCTTAGCAAGTATATCTGTGGTGTAGCGGGATCAGCAAAATCTGCGAGATTGCCAGATCCAACTTACCAACTGCGCCCAGACACCGACTAACGGAGGGGGTCCCCCGATGATCCGTGTTCTGCTGAACTTTCCTCACCTTGTGTACCCGTCGGTAGGGCGGGATCTTGCTCTCTCGGTAACTTCCGAAGAGTTCAAGTGGTGAAGCTTGAGTGTCTTGGCGAGACGTGGGGATGGGGTGGAGCAGCAGTGGAAAATCTTCACTCTGCGTCCGTGGATTGTTCCGAATCCTAAGCGAATATTCGAGCTTATGGATCCGGGGCCTAGATCGTGGATCTGGCCGTAGGGCTGCATTACGGGTGTGTTCCCTTGCCTTTGTAGTTCCTTTGCGTCGTACTTGCCGCCTCCTGTGACGGGATCTTGAAAGTTGAGAGCCTCTAGGGTGTAACCGACCAAGTAGTAAATTCGGTTAGCCTGTCGGATCTGCACAAGTAAAGGAAAAGCTCACTAGGTTGTAGGATCTGGCCAATGTATTATCCAGTTATCACTACCAACACTAGATTCGCAATTCCCAACCTTCTCCGAGCTCGTACGGCCAATGTAGTTCCGGTTCTTGAGGGCAGGAAGGCACTTGCGTGATACGGTGCAAATTGAGTTCTGTATTGATATTTAAGCCTATACCTGCCTGGATTTCTACCTTCTATGTCTTGCATCTGCTAAATCCCTTACCAGGCTCGGCTGCATGTCCCTTCTTCCCTTGACCCATCATCCCAGCTGTGTTATCTTCAGATCCACCGGATCCATGACGTAATCATTATGGTCACCCTATTATGGGTACACTCATCCGGATCCAGGTCGCTTGGATCCACCTCACTGTAATTGTACACTCGCCGTGGATCCGAGCTCTCC